TATGATTCACTCAGAGAGCGATATAGTATCATAGATTTGAAAGGGACCCCTAAAGATATTAAAAATATAACACTATATATTGTGTCATCACCTACAAAAGCAACTTCAGTCAATTTGAGGATTTAAAAAAAAGTAGGTGTATTATGATGAAAATATTTCTCATTGTATGTTGGACATTTTCCTGCAAATTGGCCCTTCTTTTTTGGGTTTGAAGGATAGGGAGGGATGTAATCTTTATTTTCTTTTCTCCCACACATGTCAAGTAAGCGATTAGATTATATAAACCATGCGAGGAGACTGGCCGAGGATGACTGGACGGGAATGGACGAAGAAGAGGAAAAGGAGAAGGCAGAGGACGAGAAGGAAGACATGGAGGTCGAGCTCACAAAGAAGCTGCCAAAGCGATACGCCAACCAGGTGAGTCGTGGGATTTGGGGGTCCCTATTTCCTCTATCTTTTTGCTTTCCTCTTACTGGTATTGGTTAATATAGGCATCCTTTATTTGAAATGCCTTTGGTTGCATCTTGGAATGGTTGTGCGCATATGCACAAAATGGGTGGGTCTTCATTGTAGAATTAATGCGGTTTGAGACCACTTTAACTGCTATGGCTCAGTGCTGTGGAACTATAGAAGTTGTAGTTTTACAAAGTCTTCTTGGCCAAAGAATGCTAGTATATCACCAAATTCCATTATTTGCTTTGAACTGGATTATTTGAGACTACATTTCCGTTAAGGGCTCTTCTACAATGCCATATAATCCAGGTTGTCAAAGCAGATAGTCCACATGATCTGTTTTGAACTGGATTATGTGAGTCTACACTGCCATTAATGACCCTTCGATGGTGCCATATAATTTAGGTTGTCACATCAGATAATCCACACAATCTGCTTTGAACTGTATTATGTGAGTCTACACTGCCATTAAGGGCCCTTCTACACTGCCATATAATCCAGGTTGTCAAAACAGGTAGTCCACATGATCTGCTTTCAACTGGATTATATGTGTCTACACTGCCATTAAGGGCCCTTCTGCACTGCCATATAATCTAGGTTGTCAAACCTGTTAATCCATATTATCTGCTTTGAACTGGATTATATGAGTCTACACTGCCATTAATGACCCTTCTACACCACCATGTAATCCAGGTTATCAAAGCAGATAGTCCACATGATCTGCTTTGAACTGGATTATATGGGTCTACACTGCCATTAAGGGCCCTTCTACATTGCCATATAATCCAGGTTGTCAAATTTGATAATCCATATTATCTGCTTTGAACTGGATTATATGAGTCTACGCTGCCATTAAGGGCTCTTCTACAATGCCATATAATCCAGGTTATCAAAGCAGATGGTGCACATGATCTGCTTTGAACTGGATTATATGTGACTACACTGCCATATAATCCAGGTTGTCAAACCTGATAATCCACAATATCTGCTTTGAACTGGATTATATGAGTCTAAACTGCCATATAATCCAGGTTGTCAAACCTGATAATCCACATGATCTGCTTTGAACTGGATTATATGAGTCTAAACTGCCATATAATCCAGGTTGTCAAACCTGATAATCCACATGATCTGCTTTGAACTGGATTATATGTGTCTACACTGCCATATAATCCAGGTTGTCAGACCTGACAATCCACATGATCTGCTTTGAACTGGATTATATGTGTCTACACTGCCATATAATCCAGGTTGTCAAAGCAGATAATCCACATATCTGCTTTGAACTGGATTATATGAATCTACGCTGCCATTAATAACCCTTCTACACCGCCATATAATCCAGGTTGTCAAAGCAGATAATCCACATGATCTGCTTTGAACTGGATTATATGAGTCTACGCTGCCATTAATGACCCTTCTACTGCCATATAATCCAGGTTGTCAAAGCAGATAGTCCACACGATCTGGTTTGAACAGGATTATATGTGTCTACACTGCCATAAAGGGCCCTTCTATACTGCCATATAATCCAGGTTGTCAAATTTGATAATCCACATTATCTGCTTTGAACTGGATTATATGAGTCTACACTGCCATTAAGGGCCCTTTCTCGTTGCATTATTTTGTTTTGTTTTACTTTGCTTCGTTTTATTGCATTCCTAAATTGTTTTGGTTTTATTATGTATTTTGCTGTAATTTATTTCCTCATGTAACCCATCCCAAGTCACCTTTGGGGAGATGGTGGCGGGGTATTAATAAAGATTATTATTATTATTATTATTATTATTATTATTATTATTATTATTATTGTGCACAGTATGTCACAGCAAACGAGATCTATATGTTGGATTTTGTATCACAAAATTATTATTATTATTATTATTATTATTATTATTATTATTATTATTACACTACCATATAATCCAGGTTGTCAAAGCAGATTGTCCACATGATCTGCTTTGAACTGGATTATATGGGTCTACAGTGCCATTAAGGGCCCTTTCTTATTGCATTATTTTGTTTTGTATTCCTTTGATTTGTTTTATATTATAATTATATATATTATATATAATATTATAATTATATTATATTATAATAATGATTTGAAAACAAACATGAATGAATTACTATCTTATTTGTAGTGCTAAAAATTCTTTAAAGCAATACAATAATTAAAATGAAAAGCAATTTTAACAAATATAAATAATATTTTAATGGAAGTGTAGGCCTCCTTTTGGCTGATGAGATAGGATTGTTGTTGTTGTTGTGTGCTTTTGAGACTTAGGTTGACCCTGAGCGAGGGCCGGGTAAATGACCTTGGAGGGCCGTGTCCGGCCCTCGGGCCATAGTTTGAGGACCCGTGGTCTACACTGCCATTAAGGTCCCTTTTACACTGACATATAATCCAGGTTATCAAAGCAGATAGTCCACATGATCTGCTTTGAACTGAATTATATGGGTCTACACTGCCATATGATCTAGCTCAAATCAGATAATCTGGATTTTATACGACAATGTAGAAGGGACCTACAACTCCCAGGATTTGATAACATAGAGCCATGAGATTTTATTTAAAGCAGTGTCAAACTGCATCAGTTTCACAGAGTAGATTCAGCTTTAAACTCACTATATATGCACACACACACACACACACATATATACACACACACACTATATATATACTAGCCGTCCCCTGCCATGTGTTGCTGTGGCCCAGTCTGTATATGTGTTTTTTGTGTGTATATGTATGTGTTTATATGGTGCCCAGAATTGAACACAATATTCCAGCTTTGGTTAGACCACACCTGGAATATTGTGTCCAATTCTGGGCACCACAATTCAAGAGAGATATTGACAAGCTGGAATGTGTCCAGAGGAGGGCGACTAAAATGATCAAGGGTCTGGAGAACAAGCCCTATGAGGAGCGGCTTTAGGAGCTGGGCATGTTTAGCCTGAAGAAGAGAAGGCTGAGAGGAGATATGATAGCCATGTATAAATATGTGAGAGGAAGCCACAGGGAGGAGGGAGCAAGCTTGTTTTCTGCTTCCCTGGAGACTAGGATGCAATGGAACAATGGCTTCAAACTACAAGAGAGGAGATTCCATCTGAACATGAGGAAGAACTTCCTGACTGTGAGAGCCGTTCAGCAGTGGAACTCTCTGCCCCGGAGTGTGGTGGAGGCTCCTTCTTTGGAAGCTTTTAAACAGAGGCTGGATGGCCATCTGTCAGGGGTGATTTGAATGCAATATTCCTGCTTCTTGGCAGAATGGGGTTGGACTGGATGGCCCATGAAGTCTCTTCCAACTCTTTGATTCTATGATATATTTGTGTATCTGTGTATATATGTGTGTTTGTGTGTATATATATGTGTGTGTGGGGGGGTGTATATATGTGTGTGCATAATGTGTGTGTGAAGATGTATATATATGTGTGTATATATTTGTGTGTTTATATGTGTATATGTATATTGTGTATATGTGTGTGCTTGTCTATATGCATATTTGTGTTTATATATGTGTGCATGTATGTGTGCATGTGTGTATTTGTGGTATATATAAATATATATGTGTGTATGTAGATGTATGTGTGTGCTTGGGTATGTATGTGTGCATGTGTATATGTACATGAGTATGTATGTGTATATATATGCACACACACACTCATGTACATATATACACATGTGTATGTATGTGTGCATATGTATATGTACATGAGTGACTGTGTGTGTGTGTGTATATATAGTGTATTTCTGGGGGGTTTAAGTCTATTCTGCTGGGGGTTTTTGTTGTTGTTGTTTTGTAATTTTAGGGGTGATGAACACTCATTAGTCTGTTAGGAGTGTGCTGTCCAAATTTTGTGTCAATTTGTCCAGTGGTTTCTGAGTTCTGTTAATCCCACAAACGAACATTACATTTTTATTTATATAGACTAGCTGTCCCCTGCCACGTGTTGCTGTGGCCCACATGGGAATTCTGTGTGGGAGGTTTGGCCCAATTCTATCATTGGTGGGGTTCAGAATGCTCTGTGATTGTAGGCGAACTATAAATCCCGGCAACTACAACTCCCAAATGTCAAGATTCTATTTTCCCCAAACTCCACCAGTGTTCACATTTCGGCATATTGAGTATTCATGTAGAGTTTGGTCCAGATCCATCATTGTTTGAGTCCACGGTCATCTTTGGCTGTAGGTGAACTACAACTCCAAAACCAAAGGACACTGCCCACCAAACCCTTCCAGTATTTTCTGTTGGTTCTGTGTGCCAAGTTTGGTTCAAGTCCATCGTTGGTGGGGTTCAGAATGGTCTTTGATTGTAGGTGAACTATAAATCCCAGCAACTACAACTCCCAAATGACAAAATCAATTTGAGTGAAGGGTATACATTGGATTGTTAGGTGTCTTGTGCCCAAATTTGGTGTCAATTCGTCCAGTGGTTTTTGAGTTCTATTAATCCCACAAACAAACATTACATTTTTATTTATATAGACTAGCTGTACCCGCCACACGTTACTGTGGCCAACTTTCCCTCTTTCTCTCCTTCTTTCCCTCCTTCCTTCACTCCCTCTTTCCTTCCTTTTCCTTTCCCTCTTTCCTTCTTTCTCTCTCTTCCTTCCTTCTCTCTTCCTTCCTTCTCTGTCTCTTTCCTTCCTCCCTTTTTCTTTCTCTTTTTGTCTCTCTTTTCCTTCTTTCCTTCCTTCCCTCTTTCTCTACATCTTCCCCTTTCCTTCGCTCCCTCTTTCCTTCCTTCCCTTTTTCTTTCCTTCTCTAACTTTCTTCCTTCCTTCCCTTTTTCTTTCCTACTCCCTCTTTCTCTCCTTTCTTCCTTCTCTTTCCTTCTTCCTCTTCCTTCTCCTCCCTTTCCTTCTTTCTTTCCCTTTTCTTTTCCTTCTTTCTTTTTTTCCTCCCCTTCCCTCCCTCTTTCATCCCTTTTTTCTGTATTGTCATTCAGCTTTTTGGAGCTTTT